CTGATAATGATAACAGTTTGTGGAATGGTTAACATAATTTGATCCTGTGCACTCTATAATACAATAGAGTTAATAAGTAAATTTATTAGGGGTGTTTAATAACCTGTTGACCTAATTGATTTCATATATCAACATACTGATTGTAATCACTGAATCTAAATATTCCTGGGTGCTAGAAAACAAAAAACAATACGTTATATGTTTCACTATATCATACAGAAATGGACCCCTTCGTTGTTTACTCTCTGTGATTTTTCTTGCTAAAATTAGTTTCTACTGAGCAAGAGGTCAGAATTTAAAAGTTGTTTATTTTATTTTTTTGCAAAAGGCACAACAGTCAGATGAACAGCTGATCATTGTTTGAACCAAAAAACCGGTTGACTTTACGAAAAGCAGCAGAATAAAGATTGCTTCTAAAATCAGATAAATATAAAAATGTTACCACAAACATAAATTTACAAGACGATTTTGACAATGGTTACCAATACCATTCCATGTGCTACAAAAATTACACAACAGTGAAGAGATATTTACAAGCATAGTGAATGCACTTCAGCCAAAGTTCCTGTCCTGGAACCCGGAGTAATAGTAGGCTTCCATTCACTGATTCTTGTATTTTCTGTCCAATGAACAGGAAAACAGTAAATGGTAAAATCGAATAATTATCTGACTGCTTAACATATGACGGTTGTCAATCAATTTTTGCAGATGTAGAGAAAAGCGATAATGAACGAATCAAATCAACAGTTACAAGCAACTCTTGCAACATCTTTATTCAGTCTCTTTGAAACAGAAAGGGGAGATTTCAAGAACAACTGTGTGTCAAAGTTTACAACAAACGACAAGGGAATTTATCTACCCGTACAGCATATCAGAAATCGAAGACAGGACTTACATTAAAGGTGAGCTACAACGAACTAACTTGAAGAACATGATTTACACTACATTATCATTCCCTAGTATACCTGAAGCAAGTATACCTGAAGACCTGCAATTGTTTTACGAGACATTGCTATCTGGTTTTAGAAAACCTAATGGTGATGAAAATAGACATAGTATAAATAAAACGCAAGGTGAAAAATATGTCAGTTGATGCTGTGTACAACGTGTCTACGGGATTGGTAAGACCATGGAAACATACTGTGTTGGGTTTAGGAATCGGATCATTGACCAGTTCGAAACTTGTACTTGGTACTGTGTTGGGTTTAGGAATCGGATCATTGACCAGTTCGAAACTTGTACTTGGTATACTAAACCGTTTTGGCTGGTCAATAAACTACATTGTAATGAGATGCATTAAGGAGCATCAGCACCAAACGGGATATATAGCTCCAGAACACGGTGTAGATATTATGTCATAAAAACAAAACTAAACAGTAAACAATATAAAACAAAAAACGATATTACAGAACAAAACAAGACGATAAAATAATATCACAAAGTCATTCAATGACTTCAAAACACATAAATAAAAACAATATCACAGGTAATAAACCACATGGTGGTATTAAAAACAAACAATGACATATCTATTTAAAATTGAAAATAAAGACCAGCTTGTCTTTAAAAAAAAACCCACAACCTTCACATACAGAGAAGGTTGTGCAAATACATGATATAAAGATCCAGCACGGTAGTGCTGGGATCTCAAAGGTTTCAGATGCTTATTGGAATTCGCTTTTTCTATTGCTGATAGTGGACAGGACACACCAGGTGGAATTATTTTAAAGCCCGAACTAGCCACCGGCCTAACGTGGGACAATTATTAAAACAACTCGTTTTCTAATGAAGCAAGCACTGTTCAAAGATTTCGAAATCAACCCTTTGACACCTACGCTCGACTGTAGTGCCATGAAAATCTCGTCTATTGGCCGAAGCTGACTCCAGTCGAGCGAGAAGTCACACCTGTCATATGACGCGCTATAGGGAAATCCCGGTGATTAGGTTATTATTAGTGTCAACACACACAGTCACGTGATCCTGGATCCTGATTCTATTTATATCATGTCGATAGGCAGCCAATTTCAAAGCTAATTTCACCGAGTTCGATGTGGAATTTTCTTTTGTTTTTATGATCAGCTGATAATGGTGTCGAGGTTTACAGTTCAGGAGGTGCTAGATGAACTTCACGCCGATAGTGGTTCAGGCGATGTGGATTTTGACAATGAGAATGATACATTTAGTGAGGATAATTCTGACTCTGAAATACGTGATCTTGCCGATGTACAAAACAGTGAACATGACATTCGTGATACCGATAGTGGTGGAAGTGACTAATGAACCGAGTGCTTCGAATAATGAACATATAAGAGTAGATTCTAACAGTGACAATGATTCTAATTCAGACCAGGGAATCTATGTTAGTGTCAGGGGTAGGCCTGGTAGTGTACGTGGTGACAGGGGAAGGGGACGTGCCTGTGGTGTGACTGTCGCAGGTCAAGGTAGAGCTCAACAAAATCCTGTACCTACATGGAATACTGATGATGGTATGAATCCTGACTGGATGTCACAGTTCCAGTGTCAAACGCATAAATAGATAAATAGGAGTGTAGTTAGGTAGTTAGGGTATTGTCAGTCATTCACTCATTCTTTAGCTGGGGTTTTTGTCAGAAGTTTCAACTGAACACCAGTTTAAAGAGGATAGGACTAAATCAGTTTGGATCACATTCCTTTAAGTTCCTTTGAGGATTTGGGAAATATGAAGAGCCTGTAATATCTGTAAACTTTTTAGGTTATTTGACAAAGTGATTATTTTGAAGATTTCAGTAAAAAACAATTAGAAGCAAATTGCCAACAAAGTACAACTTAATCAGGCTTTGGGAAGATATGAAGAGTCTGTAATATCTGTAAAGTTTTTATGTTCTTTGACAAAGTGATTATTTTGAAGATTTCAGTAAAAACACTTAGATACAAGGTGTCAACAACGTACAACTTAAGTCAGGGTTTGGGAAATATGAGGAGCCTGTAATATCTGTAAAGTTTTTGTTATTTGACAAGTTATTATTTTGAAGATTTCAGTAAAAAAAAAAACAGTTAGAAGCAAGGTGTCAACAAAGTACAACTTAATCGGGTTTGGGGAAATATGAAGAGCCTATAATATCTGTTAAGTTTTTATGTTATTTGACAAATTAATTATTTTGAAGAATTCAGTAAAATCAGTTAAATACAAGGTGTCAACAAAGTACAACTTTAATCAGGCATATTTCTGGATGTTCATCCCAGTGACTAAAGTAGTGGCAGCACCAGCACCAGAACTGGGGAAACAAAAAGGGGAAGACTAACCTAATGGAAGGACATCTGTAGGGGTTTGGATTCTAAATGTGGAAGCGTTGTCTAGTGGTACGGGTTCCTTTGTAGAGTCTGAGATTAAGAGTTGTACCATGTCAAATTACTCCAGAACGAATTGACATATTGTGACTTTGCCTATAAGAATATTATCTTGTGTGACAATTGAGACTTGAACGAAAATAGAGAATACCACACCCTAAATTGGATAGATTCGGTGCCATGGGTTCGAATCCTCCTCAAGGTTATGAAAAATTCTGATGTCTGTGCTTGTGCTTCCCAGAGTGTTCGGTGTCGGTTTTCACCCTCTAATAGAGACTAAAATATTCTGAAACAAGTGACTAATACTGCTTGAACATTCTTTGTGTTGCCATTCTCTTTTTGAGCTAGACATGAATGGCCAAAACAACATCCCTGATTAATTTTAATCTTCTAGTTAATGAAATCTTGAGCATTTTCAGGGCCATTGATTCAGCAACACTTGCCAGTCATAAAATCTGTGTCTTTTAAGTCTAAAGATTTTTGAGAATTTTGTTTTCAATATTTTTATTGTCATGTACGTTGTAATTAATGGATTCAATATTTATTTTTTAATTAATAAATTTTGTTTTTTGAAAAAAAAAGGAGAGGATTGGATCGTTCTATTATTCTAAGAGTCTTGGGTATACTTCTTGGATTAGTGTAGATCTCCAGTTATTGAATGTAAATAAAGTGTTAATATCTTAGCTGTTATCTCATTTGGAAAGTAAATTCATGGTCCGTATCCAGTCTCTTACAAACGACTATACAGTTTGTAAGAATAATCTACTTTGCAGTTTGCAAGTAGAACCCAACAAACAAGCCTGCCAACAAGCAGCTCGTTTACAGTGGTGCCGTGGCGACTGATACAACACTCACCGAATGTCTGCAAGCTTTTCCATGATGGGAATCTGGATTATGCCGTAATTCACTCTACTAATAATTCACTTCAACATTGAAACTGCATCGTTGGTTCCTTATTTTGATGAATATCTTAAAGGCGTGGATGAATTTTGGTTAGGACTTCACTGTTGTTGTGTTTTGTGACGACCACTTAATATGCAGGAACGTACCGTCACTGCACCACTGTAAACGGGCTGCTCTGTAAACAAGCAGTATTCTTTATTGAATAAGTAAGATGTCATGGTCTTTGAGTATTACCGCACAGCTGGGGTGTTAGTATTTATCTATAATTTCAACTGTCTATTGTTATATCTTACATCGCCTTTGATACCCAATGTGCACATGACAGAGACGACATTCTTTGTTAAGTGATTAACACACAGTCAGTATAAACTTTAGGGGAAGGATTTGTTCAATCTTACCTTAGGTTATATACATGATAAGTGGTTGACCAGTGTTATAAACCCTAACTAACCACAGGGGTTTTAGTCAAATGTCGGGCAGACAAAGGATTCCTTTATTTCAATGACCATTTAGGTAAGGGAATAAATACAACTTAGGAAAAGATATCAGGGTCACTCTTGGGTTAGCGGAGAAACATGTTGCACTAGAGTATGGGAATTCTGGGGTGGAATCTCCCTTTTTGGTTTAGACTTGGAGTTATATTTATTGTTTAGTATTCAGTGTTAGTTAGTTATGTTATTGGATGTAAATACAGTGTTTGTTAATATTGTAAGCGTTAGTATCAATTGAAGGAAAGTGTCCGTATCCAGTTTCTTACAAACGATTATACAGTATGTAAGAATGATCTATCTTGCATTTTACAAGTAGAACCCAACATATCTAACTTGTATACAGTTCAGTAAGAAGACAACAAAAAACGTGTATACCTCATCTCGTTTAAACTGAAGGCATTTCTTGCTGTGATCATTGTAATGTGCATTGTGAGCCGACCCATCCTACGCAGTTACTGGTCAACAGACTGGTTGATTGAATTGCCTGGTCTAAGATCTGTCATGAGTCGAGACCGTTTCCCTGTTGTATTACGAATTCTGCACTTAGTAAACAATGAATAGCAGTACCGGGAGGTTATCCAGATTACAACAGATGTTTCAAAGTCGCCTCACTCATTGGGATGTGTGTGGCAGGATGCTTTTAATATGGAAAAATGTATATCGGTTGATGAATGTATCATAGCATTCAAAGGTATGACTTTTATGAAGCAATATATGCCAAAAAAACAAGTAAGTGGAGACTTAAATCTTTGGTTTTAGCTAGCTCAAAAACAGGATTTGTATCCAATTGGAAGTTGTTCAGTGGGAAAGAATGAGATATTGATGAAAATTGTGTCTTCTCTTGCTCAAATTCTGCCTGGAGGTCATGAACTATTTCACAAGTTTTGAACGTTTGAAAGCATTGAAGGCAAATGGTTATGTATGTATGTATGAGCAACAGAACCAGTAATCCCCCAGAAATTAGAGCCTTTACAGCCGGCAGAGGGAAGAACACTTTTCAGGAGATGTCACCAATATTCAAACGTTGAGGTAATGTACCTGCAGTTGGCTGGTATGCCAAACGTCCTGTCACTCTCGTCTACTATCCATTCCTCGAGGATGATAAATAAACGTGTCCGTGATAAAGCTGCAGAGAATGGATATAGGAATTTTCAGAAACCTTTTGCTGTTGGCCAATACAATGAACACATGGGGGGCGTCGATAAATCTGATCAACTCATATCATATTGTGCATTCGAAAGGAAGTCCCTAAAATAGTGGAAAAATTTTTTTTTTCATTTGTTTGTCACGTCTTTGACCAATGCCTACATCATGTACAAATCAGTTATCCCACAGCAGAACAAATTCCTGGATATGAGTTCAGCAAAACAATGCATAGAGACATAAAAGAAATCTGGATAACTTGTATTCAAATTTGTATATAAGGATATGGTAAACATATATAAATATCAATTTGAATTATTTCTCATGTGCTCCATCGCATTTGAAATTTTTTTTTTTTTTAAATTTATTTAGGTCACTATGACATTGTAACGTCATAAGGTCCGTTTACACGATTTGGACTTGGACCCGCGGTCAACTCTTTTCGTGTTTACACGAAGACAGTCTGCTAGCTTGCAATTTCTGGGAAACCAAGACTTCAAAGAAATCACGACAGTTTACCTCCCTGTTTCATGTAATCTTTTGCTGTCTGGATTAGCTTCAGTTTGTGCCCTGCCCCTACTGGCCTAGTTTTGAGTATGTGGCTTTGGTGTGTACAGATTTGATGCTTTACTATTGGAAGTAGGCATATATTATGATGTACTATTTTTCTGGCACATCATTATTTCATATCAACTTAATATTCATATTCATGTCATTTTATTCATTTCAGTACATATGTGATCAGTTAAGAGGACAATTAGAGAAAGTCAATACTGTGATGCGAGAAGTGGTGGACACTGAGGGAGAGTTGCATTGGCACTAGCAACAAATATAGAATACAGAACTGTGGGTCACATGTTTGGTGTGGTTCGAAGTACAGTGTGTAGAATTGTGATGTTCGTGAAGCAATAAGAGATATTTTAATGCCAATTCATGTGAAGTTTCCAATAAGTGATCAGGTTACTGAAATAGTGAATGGGTTTGGGTTTGAAGTTAGGTGGAGATTTCTCCATGTTGTGGGGCAATTGATGGTACGCACATTCCGATCATTGCACCATACATCCAACTAGTCGACTATTATAACCGCAAGGGTTATCACAGCTACAACATGCAAGGATTAGTCGATTTTAAGTACAGATTTATTGACATTAGCATAGAATGTCCTGGATCTGTTCATGGTGCACGGGCATTCAGTCCATTGTGTATTCTTGGTGAAAGAGGGAGACTTCTGCCAAATACAAAGAGAAACATAAATGGTGTAGACATCCCTCTGATGTTAATAGGAGATAGTGCCTATCCTCTGCTAAACTGGCTTATGAAGCCATTCAGTGACTGGCCGTTTAACAGCAGAACAGAAAACGTCCAACTAGTGGTTAAGTCGAGCAAGAATGGTGGTGGAAAATGCGTATGGGCGTTTAAAAGGAAGTTGGCGAATTCTTTTGAAGCGTCTTGACAATGACTTTCTTAAGGTCCCCTCACTTGTAGCAGCTTGTTGTGTCTTACACAATATCTGTGAAACTTTTGGTGAAGAACCATTTATTGTTGAAAATATTGATGAGCATACAACAGCCTGACCAAACAGTGAATGAAGCACAGACAGCAAATGAAATCAGAGAACTCAATATTATCATTATTACAGATCATTTATTGCAAAAATCAAAGTAACATCTGAAATAAAGTTCAAATACAAATATATGGTTTTTCGTTGTGTGTCAAAATCATAATATGTGAATTTGCAATTGCAGAATGAGATAATAATTACACAAGGCTTCAAGGCATAAATTTGGATTGATGAAATATAGTCCTGTACAATAACCGTTGTTACCTCCCATGCCAAATTTGTTGACGTCAACTTCCGGTGAGCAAAGAAAATGGCGTCGAGAGGTCGGTGATCCTTGTCAATTTGATAAATTATCAGTGCGTGAACTGAAGCTTTATTTACGAGATAGAGGAGCACATGTGTCAAGAAATAGACCAGAGTTATTAAAACGTGCCCGAGGCATTGTAAAAATCGGAAAACGGACATTAAAAGAGGTTTATATTCAGGACAACAACAACAAACTTGAACGACGGGAAGAATTATTTACCACTCTGCTGGGTGCAAAATTGCCACAGCCAGGAAGTTTGAAAGGTTGTTGGGAGGACGATGTGCTAAAAATTCCCTTCTTCAGGAAGGAGGATTTATACAATTACCTTGTGTTAAACCGTTCACGCACTTTTGACTATCAGAACAGATATGGTAATTCAAATAGAACTATTACAATAAATTTGTTTATTAATACTTTTAAAATAATTATAAATTTAGGAATGTAGCTCTGTATTTATCATTTTTGACAATAGCACCTTGACTGAGTCAGAAGTTGCATCATTTGCAGCTGATGCTGCCTATCCCTCTCTGTTTCTTGTTCCTGGCGATA